ATTTTATTTGAAGGGTTGAGGGAAAGTTACTTACTTTCAAAAGAAGTCCCCCTCCCCTGGGAACCGCAGGTAGGTAGCAGCCTAGTTCTGGCAATTTCAAGATACCTGTTCAGATTCTGTTCAATCTAACAGAGGCTCTGTGTGCTCTATTCACAATTATTTTTTAAACTTATTTTCCAATAACAATAACAGATATTCCAATAACAAAAGGGAGATCTGGGGAAGAAAATCTGCACATCTGCAGCTGTATAGAAAGATGCTTGATCCATTTTTCTGTGCAGTGGCTGCTTTTTTTCATTTGGATGGATCTGGGCAGAAACTTGACTGATGCAGCTTTTCTTTTCCCCCCGCATCAGAAAGAATAGAAACATTCACATGTTGAATTTCTGACTGTTAATTAAAACCAGAGAGCTTTCCATCCTCTCCTCATGGAGGGGACACCTTGTTATTATTACACTGCATGGATTTACCCTGGGGATCTGATACCAGAACAGTGCAGTTTTACTGATTATAGAAGGGGAAGTTTTCAAATGGTTTTACTCATGAATCAATGGGGTGAAACAGACCACCCTGAAGAAGCGGCTCTGTACTGCCCCTTTGCTCATCAGATCAGGGCCGTGGCAACTGCACGCTGCAGCCCTGATCTGGCGTTTTTCTGGTGCCCCTTTTGCTAGGGCTGTTCTCTGCTGCTGCAGTGAGCGGTGTGTAATTGCTGCGCCGCAGAAGCGTTCCCACGCTGCCTGCTGTCTGGGCGGGTGGTGTGACACTGTTTTGGGGGCAGAGTTGGGGCAGACAGTCACCATACCCCCAAGCCACCAAATCTCCGGCTCTTTTTGCCCTAAATGATTAGCCCCAACGTCTCTGTGATAATTGGACAAAATACTATCTTAGGGTTTTTCCATGCAGCATGGTGTAGTGGTTTGAGTGTTGGACTGTGACTCTGGAGACCAGGGTTCGAATCCCATTTTGGTCATGGTAAACCCACTTGGGGCCTAAGCAGACTGCCAGAAATAGTGCATATTAAATTGAGGCACTGCCCTGGTTCAGTGCTAGGGAATCATGGGAACTGTAATTTATTGTGGCACCAGAGCTCTCTGACAGAGAAGGTTCAGTGTCTCAGAAAAAAATACAATTCCCATGATTCCCTAGCACTGAGCCAGGGCAGTGCCTCAATTTAATGTGCACTATTTCTGGCAGTCTGCTTAGGCCCTAAGTGACCTTGGACAAGTCACAGTGTCTCAACCTGAGAGGATGGTGGTGGCAGCCCCCTCTGAAGAAACTTGTAAAAAAAATGCTAGATTTAATTTAGGGTTGTCATAACTTGGAAACGACTTGAAGGCACACGACATACACACATACTGTGCTGAATGTTGTAATTGTAAAGTGTAGGTATAACTTCAGTCTAACAAGGATAAGTTGTAAACATACAGCAGAATACAATTACTTTATTTGTCCTGATGAAAAATCTAGCTTCTCAGAAAGGGTGAGGATTTATTTATTTATTTTGTTGCGCAATCTAGATCTATGTTGCATTCATAATTTGCACCAACATTATGGATCATGCCCTCATACATGGAAATTCCAAAGAATGCAGCAAGTTTGGAACATATTTGGCTTCAACTTAAGTGTTCAAATTGCTCAATTTACAGAAATATGTAATTAAAAACTGATTAATATAAATTGCTTCAGGAGATAGATGTCATCTTGGATTTTGAAATTTGGGTAGGGTCCCTTTTCAGACTCATTATCAGTTTTATTGTAAGCCTGTTCAGTTGTTGGTTCTTTGTTATAATACTACCAGAAATAGTAGTTGACATCAGTAGACAAAATAGTCATATCCAAGTGTAATAAGAAGTATGTTTTTAAATATGAACATATCATGAGTAGCTGATGAGAAAATGTAAGGTTTACATGTTTTACAGCTATGAGGTAAACATTATCAGGCAGTTGCTGTAGTCAGCTGGTTTGTATCTTGAAAGAATGAATAGCCTTAACTTTATTGAGAAGTACAAGCAATGTGGTAAAATACTGCAGTCACCTTGGAATATCTTTTGCTGAGAGGCCGCTTCTGAATGTTTTGAATATAGGTTTGGTGATAGAGAAGCTTTTGAGCAATAAAAAGAATAGGATTGTTCCTCAACGTAGATCCAACATGTCTTGGATGTGACTTTTCATTCTGATATATTCCAAGATATACTTGAACAAACTGAAGAAATCTAAACTGTAATTAATCTAAAAATACATAAAAATGGGGGTGAGGATAGGAAAAGGACAGGGAAATCTTTCATCAAAATCAATCTATGGTGCTTTGAAAACTGCTTGCACTGCTATTTGTTCATATGCTGACAACTGCACAAGGCAGTAGTAACTAATTTCTTTCTCTCCCTCTCCCCATAAACTGAGTGACCACAATGATGATGCATGTGTCAGTCTCTACTGACTAAGGATATCAATGGCCCTTTGCAGACTGCCAGAAATAGTGCAAATTGAGTCCACTTTAACTGTCCTGGCTCAGTGCTAGGGAATCATGGGAACTGTAGTTTTTTCTGAGACATTGAGCCTTCTCTGTCAGAGAGCTCTGGTGCCACAATAAACTACAGTTCCCATGATTCCCTAGCACTGAGTCAGGGCAGTTAAAGTGGGCTCAATTTGCACTATTTCTGGCAGTCTGCAAAGGCCCAATATCAATTACATAACTAGAACTAATGTCAAGTAATGGATAGAGTATTCAACTTGGAACACAGAGATTTGGTTTAAATCCCTACTCGGCCATTGAACTCCCTGGGAGAACATTAGGCAAACTGACATCCTTTCTCAGCCTCCCCTGTTTCACGGGGTTTTGAGAGTATAAATGAGAGAGACTTGTGAAAACATTTTTTTAAAAATTGTTTTATCACATACGTATCCCATTTTACAGAACCTTATTTCTTCCCCCTCCCCCAAAAAGACCCTGGGTTGATCATGTACAGGGAGAGGATTGCTCATTTATTAGTAGTTTTGATTTTATTTGTTCAAAGATGGCCTGTCTTTGTCTCATGTCTCTAACAGTGAAGTATAGCTGTTAACTTCTCCCAGTTTTCTGAATCCCATGTTTCATTTTTAGTTGCAGTGGAGCCAAACTAAGAGTCCTGTTTGCTCTAGGTTGGGATTTGGGATAGGCAGTGAGTATAGCAGAAGAAATAAAGCCCACATCTTTCACTGCTGTGGGTTTGTCAGGTCACGGTGGAATTTTTTGGATGTGTTTTCTTACCAAACCTGGCTCAGTTACCATCTTGCACCTATGGTCAATATCAAGAAATTATGTCTGTGAAAGTGCCAGACTTGAGCCTTACATTGCCTAAAACAAAATATTCGCAATGGAGGCCTGCTACAAGTCATCAAGTAATGTGTGTTCCTGACGATAGTCCCGTATAATAGATTAAGAATAGTCTTTATTCTTTAGAGCTGTAGTTTTCAAATTTTTCTAGGGATCCTCAAGATAAGCAGGTGTTGTCACTATTGCTAGCTTCCTAAACTATGTTGCTTTAGGCAAATGTTGGGTTTGCTCCAAAGTGTGCTATCAGTTTATATAGAGAGCAACAGTAAGGCTCCTGCAAATCTGGTTGGCTAGTACTCTTACGATCTGTCTTTACATACTGGCTTCTAGAGTCTAGAACGTTTCTCAGAATTCTCAAACATGAAGAGTTCCTTTCTAGACTTGTTGATATGGAATAAGTTTACGTCAATATAAATGTAAAAGATAGAGGTATGGGGCAAACATTTATTTTTTACATAGTGAGGAAAGATTAGATTAGATATGAATGTTTAACTTCAGCTTACTGACGTTGACTTGGCTTAGTGGTTCATGTATTCAGTTGCATAAATGAAATGGCATGATTTGGGTGGCCAGCTGCCAAAAAGCTGAGAAAAGATAGCAAATGAAATTCTTTCCTTTCCTCTGCTGTTAAAAATATTGAAGCCTATCCTTCTTTGGGGACTGGTTAACCCACAATGTAATCTTAACAGTTTATCACTGACTTGGTCATCAAAGACATTTGTTTTAGAAATATACTCTCCCTAACCTCTGTAATAAAACTGAATAAACTTGTTGTGTGTATATGTGTGCCTGCCTGACTATTCATTAAGGAGAGGCTTTAGATTACACAAGCTCCCAAGACATCCTGTCCACAGAAGCAGCTGACAGGAATGCCTATTGTTATGCCTTTACTTTTCTGCCTTCTAATCTGATTTTTCAAGGGCCATGTGGAAAATGCAATTGGAAAGGCATTTCAGAACTTCCTGGAGGGCACAGTCATAGCAAACAGACTTAACTGGGTATAGTACGGTTAAAGGGCATAGGTCTGTAAAACAAATGTAGCATACAAATTCAAGAATCTCATTTATGCTAAGAATACTGCCCGTGTATTCTTAGTAGTCAAAACTGCCTTTATACTGCAGCAGCAGATTTGCATACAGTAGGTCCTCCATGTTTGCTGGGTTTTGGAGCACAGGACCCCGTGAAAGTGGGAAAGCTGCAAATTAAAAAAAACCACACTATTTAGAGCAACTGTATGATCAACATCCAACAAATTGACCATAGAATCATGCTGGAGGACCAGAAGATGCCTACAGAAGTGTTTTCTCTAGGGATCTTTAGGATCTTCAGTGTGAATGTATGGTCGACTTCCAGCAGATTTGTGCTGGAGGTCTTAGAGAGAACCATCAAACCTGCAAATGTGAAGGGCCAACTATAGCAACAGGATTAGTGTCTACTATACAGATGAAGAAATGGCACAGATTTCAGCCTTGTGCATGTAGTCACATAAACTTTTTCTTGGGGTGCTAAATTGGCACCTGGAAAGGAAAGGGGTCCCTGTCTTCAGAGATTTGATACTACAGGGAAAAGCTGCAGTGACTGGGCTCCTTATTCACTGCTTTAAATGTATTGCTGCTTGCCTGTAGTTGGCCAAAAATCAGAATTATAATTTCAACAAGAGTAGAGGAAAAGGCCAAATGAAGGAAGTGGAGTGCAGGTTAGATGGCATGGGCCTACATCCAGTGTGGTGTAAGCAGAACAAAAGTGTTGAGAGCCATTTTTTCTCTGCTGGCCAAGAAGTAAAGCATTCATGGTATGAACAATATTGTTGGATTCCCTGCTTACAAGTAGACCAGTGCTAGATATCTATGTTTGTACTAACATAATATCACTGACTGTGGTCATAGTGACTGCATCTTGATGGATGATACAAGGCAGAACACTATATGCTCAAAACTTGAATACTGGGTGATTTAAAAAGAATGATGAAAAAGTAAAGCTGCTCTTTGGTTTTGCACCATTCCATTTGAATCACTGTTTCTTACCCCATTCCCATGTAAGACCTCAAATCAGGGGTAGGCAACCTTTTTGAGCCTGGGGCCGGGTTGCTGTCCCTCAGACAATTGGGGGGGGCGAAGCACCAAAAATAAATAAAAAAAATAAAAAGTAAAAAAAATATTTAAAATTTTAAAAATATGCATGCACACTCTCTCAGCCCCAGAAAAGCCATGGCAAAATCCCTGTGGAGATTTTGCCAAGAAAACCCCAAGAACAAGTAATAAAAACAATATCATCATGGCGGCGGCGGTGGCGGCAGGACCAGCCTGGGCCAGTCCAAAGGCCTCGAGGGGCCGCATCCGGCCCCCGGGCCTTAGGTTGCCTACCCCTGGCTCAAATGATCAAGTACTGACATCAATAGATACCTCCCTCGATATACTCTGCACCAGAGATGAGTTTGGTCTAGGTGTTGCATTCCGGTTCCCATTAGCCCAGCCGGGGTGCACAGTGGTTATGAGAATAGTAGCCCAGCATAGGTTTCTCACATCTGCTCATATTGAAAATATGATGCCAAGATGGCTGACAGTAAGAAACACATGAGGCAAGTAAACTATGACATTTTAAAAATTACTAGGTTAATTTAAATTGACCTGAAGAGTGGTTATAAATAACTTTTGGTT